TACAGTATAGGTATCTGTGGATGATCCTAAGAGACCAAGTCTGAAGAGACAGTCCCAGGCAGAGTAGGCCTTATATTTATACCTCTGTGGTGGAACCTGCTAGAACATCTTGCTTACTCAGCCTAGTCAGGTGATCAGGTCATATGACCAAGGATGAGGTCATATGAGGTCATGCACAGCCATGCACAGCAGGTCACCTGACCATCCAATCCTTCCAGCAGGTCCAGCACATGCCAAGGTATACCAGCTACTTCCATGTCATAAAGGCTTGGTCATGTCTCTTGACCAAGCAATGAGCTGGTGCCCTGACACCTCCATGCTGTCAAGCAGCATGAAATGTGGACAATGATGTTGTGCAACATATCTAACACTCCTCTGGGAAATGTGGACAATATCTGGCACACACATGAGCTGGATGTGCTGCAAACATTGCAGGTCAGCTCTTCAACCTGGGTTATGCCTAAGACTGACAGGAGTGTGGAATCACCACCAATTGTCTCTTGGCTTAGGTAGTTAAGGAGTTGGAGAGTGATTCAGATGCTGGTGGAGATTTCAGGACAGGAGTGTGAGGGAATGTTGGCATGACTGGGAACAGTGTTGTGGATTTGGCAACACTCGGATCATGCCTGGTGAAGGCAGTCTCCATTGGGAGCCAAAGTTTTGTGTACGTAAGTAGGGGAGGAAGGAATGGATGGGCTTCCAACCTGTGTCAAATCTAAGGAGTGAAAGTAAATGTGCATTTGCTTGATTTCACACAACATTACACAGACAATGCAACCCTGGAATGATATTGCTTAATACTAGTACAGTGTAGTACTCTGGATTTGGCAGTAATGTGTGGAGAATGGTTATCTGTGTTGGAGTGGGTAATATGAGGTGGTCATGAGCTACAATACAGTGTTTGTTATGATAGAACCATAGGCAATCAAGTGTCTGAGTGTGCATCAGGACTGAGCCCATCCTGACATTCCAGAGCTTCACGTAGATGCTTGTTCTCCTACTTCAACACATCCATCTGATGTCTGAGAATAATGATGAGGTGCATTTTGCAAATTGATTCTTCCTCAAAAGACTTGGCTTTATTGTGTGAAAACAAGGAGTCAGCAGACTGAGCATTGGCATTGAGCACAAAATTAACAGGGCTAACCTTGACTTTGATCTACAAAATCAGAAGTTAGCATTGTGGTTACATGAGCTCATGAACCACACACCTCATTGTCTGTCCATAGTTAAATCCACAACCTTCACCCTCTTTGTATTGTGCAGCAGTGTGAGTCTGGCCTGTGAAGTAGAGTGTTTATGGGTGGTGGAAGGTCCAGGGGAAGGCTGTGAAGGAGGGGGATCTGGAAAGGTGGTGGGACACTCTTTCAAAGTTGCAGCAGTGGTCAAATCAGTTGTGGTACGAATGGTTGGCATGTGCATTGAATAGGTGCCTTGGGACATGGCCATGGGCTCAAGGATGTTATCAGGATGGTACTGAAGAAAATCTAGATAAGCCTGTAAAGCTATATTGATATTGAGGGTGAGGAAGTGTTTTAGGTAGCAGGACACTTACATTGTGTTATGTTGGCAATTGAATGCTGCAAGGAAGACATGCTGAAGTTGATAAGTGAAGGTGATTTATCAGGAATGTTGTTACTATTAGGGGACGGGTGAACGGATGCACATATGCTTCCGTTGACGCGTTCAAGTCACGGTCCTCCTGGCCCCTTTTGTGTTTTGCGTTCCGTGACCACTATGGCAGTCCGTCTGACTTTTGGTGCTTGTGCGACGCTTGTAAACAGTTACGACAAAACCTTCAAGAACTTGGTGATGCAAGTGGTGGACATGTATCCGGGAACGATAGAAGGACAACGTGTAGGATAGCGGGATGAATATGGGTAAGTGGACGATGGATTTCGAGTAGAAGCACGGCGAGTTAAGTGTAGCAAACAGTGCTACTATATCTGACGGAACATTTGCTCTGCTGGTTATGCTCTCGCCGAAACTCAACAAGTATATTGAAGAGGGGGGTATCCAATCTGGAGCGTTTCTGCAGATCGAGTCGGTGAACAGGAAGACGGTAGCGGGCTATAGGTACGCATACACCTTGGACATGTCGTTTTGTTCTCAAAAGAGTTTCTAGATCAATTACGGTCACCAGAGGAGTACCTGTTGGCACGCCCGGAGACATCTGCGGATCTCCAACAGAGATCAGCCTTCGGGTAGGAGCGATCGTTCCTACCGATCTGGTAGTTGGCACAACGCCCCCCAGCCGTGCTCGTACTGCGAGTCGCACGAGTTTTAGACGTTCGAGCCCGTCGAAGAGCCAGTGCGCTACTCTCTTGTGCCCAAGGATCGGGCCGATG